AAAAGTTTTTATATGCTCTAAACAGCGGTATTATTGTTCCTGTTGCGTTAGGCTACGTGAAATATAATCATTATGTACCAAAAAGCGGCTATCTTGACGTGAGAGATTATCAATCACCAAAAGAGTTGGCACAGAAATTATTGGCGTTGGATAAAAATATAACAGCTTATAAAGAATTTTTTGCATGGAGAAAATTCGCTCTACATATTAAAGTGCCAAAATATATTTGTGAATTATGCTTAAGATTATTTGTTGATGATAAGACGACTATACTCGATCGTATTGATCAATACTGGAATAAAAAGACACAATGTAAGAAATATGCAATACTAACTAATGGAAGATGGATAATGTCCTAATATTAATTAATAAAAACAAAAATATTAGCGAATATAGATAGGTTGATACACCCCAATACCTTTCGTTGTAGGGTGAAGATCATGTTTAGTTATTCCTTATGGTTTAAAAGTCTTACCATATTTGTTTGGACAGGTATAGTCATTATCTTAGTTTTTTGTTAGCAGTTCTGTTACTTTAATGTGCGGTAACAATGTCTTTTTACCGCTCTCCTGAATCTCATTCTAGCAGCGTGATCTTTGTATTCCCTAGCTGTCGCTGTGCGATTGTGACGTACTGGTTTCACTTGTACTTTTTTATTAATAACTTCACGCCATGTATTCCCGTTGATCATTTCACGTCTCCAATTCTCAATCTAGAACTTTTTCAAATCCACTTTAACATTTTCCTTCCATCTTTTTCTGGCACCGCCATACCGCGGCTTTGTGGGGTGGGGAAAAGAAGAAAACATAACTGTTTTTGCCAGTCTAGTCCCATTATGATGGAAATGCATAAGATATTGATAGAGATGGACAAGTTCACTATTTTTTCAGTCTCAGTCCACTAGAGGCTAAGTCCGAATCAGTCTCAGTCCGCAGGACGGTGATTTCACCTGAAATATCTGAAATGTCTGGAAAACCTGAAAACCGAAACCTGAAAATCGAAAAAGTAGAATTTTGTCATATTTTAATGTTTTCTTGTTCTATTTCCCATTTTAAAAATCCGAGTTACACATGAATCCAACGAGCAGAAAAAACTGAACAAGATAGACTAGTTTTAAGAGGTTCAACTCATAGGTTAGTGGTAAAAAAAATTCAATTCAAAAGGCTATTACATCCTTAAAGAACAGAATAGCAGAGTACCATGAAGACTGTTACAAAAGAACTGCTCAATGTGTCGAATGAAACTGTGTTTTGGCCTCCTGAATTTTTTTTGAAAAAACCTGAAAAGTTTTACGCGCTAACCTAAAAACCTGGCAGATATTTCGAATTTTTCACTCTCACCCCTGCAGTCCACCAGGCAACTGAAATGTTTCAGTTCCAGTCCATTCCTAGTCCGTGATGAGCTAAAATTTTCCAGTCCCAGTCCGCTAAGCTTTAAGTCGAATTGCGACAGCAGCATACATTGTTTTCCACTTTTTCTTCTTTTTAGCAGAGAGTAATTGTTTCTTTACATGGCTATAGCAACAAAAAAGACAACAACAAAATTTTTTTGAATGTTAAAAAACAAGGAGACAGGGCTTTTTTTTTTATCAAAAATTGATTTTTCCGAAAGTGACGGATCATGTCGAAAAACCGTGCATATTGCACTCCACGTATCTTTTTTATGATCATGTTTCAGATCAACAAAAAACTTTTAAAATACTTTTTGTTTGATGTTAAATTATCTTTACTAAAAGCCATTATGTCTTAACATAAGTTTGAGAAAACTAGAATGTCCACTGCATAGAAGGAGACGAGCATTTAGTGCAAAGAAATCAATCAGCGGAAAAAAACAGCCGTCTTTTGATTGTAAGTAACTAATCGAAAGAGCTAATCTTAACCGACCACTCGATAACAAGAAAAAGATAAAAGAGTGAATTCAATTTCTTCATCCTTTGCATCTTTCTCCAAATATAAACTGAAAAGTCCAGTCACATATGTAAAAAAGTCCACGTCTCTTATGTCTTTCAGTCCCAGTCCAAGTCCCTTACGCGTTCAGTCTCAATCCATGTGAAAAAGTGTATCAGTCAGGACTCAGTCCCAGTCTGGACTTGGACTTGCCCATCTCTGGATATTCGTAAGATTCCTATACGAAGGAATATAAGAATCTTATAGGATTCCGATAAGAATTCGGCAAGACAGATTATACAATTGTTTAGAAGAATTGATAAAATAAGTTAATATATGAACTTTTATTTACATCAATTAAAGCGTTTGACTGTATGCAAACTGAGTGAGGAACCCTGCATCGTATGGGATCCTACGAAACACAGGAAATCGTTTTGGAACCCTACGAAATCCTACGTAATCGTATCATAAGAATTCATGTGATTTCTGTTAGGATAGTGTACTACTTCTTACAGGATTCTAGTATCTGAATCCTATATTAGCGTACACTAGGAGACTTGTCAAATGCTGTGAACTTCTATACAGGATTACTTAGGATTTTGTCTAAGAAGTGTCTTTCATTCGACGACATTATCCAACGGCGGTTGACCTGTCAATTCTAAGACTTTGTCGTTGTACATTCTATCACCTAATTGATTCCAATGATAGTATGTGAAAATCTCATGTAAAATGTATACAGCTGTTTTTCTTGAGCCAGAGTTAAGGTCCATGTTTCGCTACCGCATATGAGTGCCAGTATAACACAAGTTCAGCAGATTCGTAATTTTGCTAATATAGACATGCTCTTTCTATACCAAATGACATTTTGAAGCATATTAAACGCGGTCGATGCCTTCGTTAATCTGGTATCTAACTCATTGTCAAAAGATTGATCTCGGCACAGAGAAGCGCCGAAGTAGCTAAATGGTTCCACCACCTCCACTTTCACATTACGAATAATAATATCAATATTTGGATAATCGACTTCTTAGCCCTTAATAATTCGTCCTGTGGCATCTTCTTTCAGTTGTTTTGAACCCATAATACACGTCTTTTTTACCCTGAGTGTCAATCCATATTGTTGAGTTACTCGTTCAAAAGTAATAATAAATTTTTCCAAATCAGTTGCATTTTCACACACAAGCTACAAGGTCATTTGCATACATTAATGTTAGCACGTCAAACTCCCCAAACGATTCTCGACATGCATGAGAGAAATCGTTTTTACCATATCCTAATTTGATCCCTTTAACATTGCTTTTATCAATTACTTTTCTTATAGTAAAGTAAAATACAATATTAGATAAGACGGAAGATGGTATCCCGCCGTGTAGTACACCTGTATCAATTCCAAATGGATCAGATAGCTCCTCACTAATGCTCACGCGTACTGCAAAGTCTTTATATAGCAATCGCAGTATTTTAACTAATTTTTCGGATATTCCATAATGTCTACAAATGGTCCACAATAAATCTCTGTTCATAGAGTCGTATGCTTTCTTTATGTCGATAAAACACATAAATAAAGATTTGTTGTACTGTCGAGATTTTTCCATTATCATTTTTAACGTTGAATAATATACAGATTGTATTTTCTTTGCAAAATTTTATAAAAACACTACAATACTCTACGTCCTCGGATTTTTGTTTGCCAGATATAATACTTTTTTGTATTGTTGAGTATATTTACATCAGGCAGGAACTGCAGAATAAAATAAAAGCTATTTTTCAAGATAACCCACTGATAAGGCAGTTGTCATGTAAACTGCAAGTCTTACATAACCAAGTTGAACTTCGATTTCGTCAAAGCTTTTTTGTAATTTTTTTTTGTAAAACATGTTTTATTTTCTGTGTCCGGAAAATCTTTTCTTGTGTTAGAATTTGCTAGTGGATGTTTATTTATAATGATATAATCAATTTGTTCGCTGATAAATGGGTTTCGAAAAACTTTACAAATGATATAACAATAACGATATCAACAACAAAGAAGTTGATACTAATTGAAATGATGGGGAAAACGAGGCATTATTATCTGTTATTGAACGAGAAAAAAAATGAACAGTCTAATGTAGACACACACCAACAATGTCAACAAGATCTAAATGAATATCAGACGTTAACAACTGGAGATAAACTGACTCTAACTGTTAAAAGCGTACCAGTAGACAACAATACAGGACAAGAGCGAGATAAAATAACGAATCAAAAGGTGAAAGCGATTAGCGGGAAAAGTGGTGAAATAAAATACACGGACACATATTCCGACGATATGGAAAGTGAAGTGGATAGCCGTCAGCAGGAAATATTGATTATTGCTGGACGTTTTCCACTCACAAAACGGATCGGTGGAGGGTCATTTGGTGAAATATATTTAGCACAAGATATGTTACGAAATATGGCAGTTGCAGTTAAAACTGAACGATATGATTGCATTGTACCACAACTGCCGATAGAAAAAGTAGTTTTTGAAAGGATGAAAGATTCGCATGGATTTCCAAATATGACTTATTATGGTCAAGAGAAAGTCGGTAACGCTTGAACTATGTAGAGTCACTGGTGTTTGATTTTTATTATAGCGATATTATGTTCTTGTCATGGATCTCCTCGGTCCCAGTCTGGAGGATTTATTTAATTTTTGTGATAGATCATTTACTGAGCATACCGCTGCAATGGTAACGGATCAAGCCATTACACGGACGGAACAAATGCATGATCGATCATTATTGCATCGAGACATAAAACCCGATAATTTTCTCATGGGAATAGGTTCGAAAGCGAACATATTGTATTTTATTGATTTTGGGTATGTATCATCATTAAATCGCCATTGTAAGTATCAAACTAATCTTTTTTTTAGTTTAGCGAAAGAGTATCGGGATGTTGTGACGTACGTTCATCGAGCTTTAATTATGGGAAAATCGCTTACAGGCACAGCTAGATATGCAAGTATTCACACACATCGCGGATTCGAACAGAGTCGACGAGATGATTTGGAATCTGTGGTTTACAGTTTAATCTACTTTTTACGTGGTAGTTTACCATGGCAAGGCTTGAAAGCGAAAACAAAATATCAAAAATATGAGAAAATTGCCGAGTTGAAACAATCGATTGATGTTGATGAGTTGTGCTATGGTTTTTCTCAACAAGTAGTAACATTAACAGCATATGTACGATCACTGAGTTATGACGAACGCCCCGATTATGATTATTGTAAACGATTAATGAGATGCATCGCGGTGCAGAACGGACAACAATATGATTACAAGTTTGACTGAAGTTTTACAAAATTTTTCAACATTTGACTTCTAAACTCTTCAAACTATGCATAGCTTCGCAATTTTGTTGGCTCTCGGAATTTTCGCACCCAGAAAGTGGTGTTTGAAGTGGAGAGTACAATCCGTACAATGTAAAAAAATGTGTAGCTGAAAAGAACGGTTCCTGTTTCGGTCCATGCATCATAGATATAGTACTCGTCCGGTGTTATATTCATTATAAACATGCAACACGTGGATAAAACTATCTGTTTTCCTTCAACGTATAACATAGATGCAAAAAAAAGTCCTATTGAATCATTTGTGTAATAACCGTTGTATTTTGTGACTTTTTGGGATATGAGCGAATGGTAACTGCTTTGTACAATTGTAATTTTACGATATTTTTTCAATAACTTCTGTCATTGCCCATCGGTTTCGAAAACTTTTTGTTTTACTCGCTGATGATGGTTCTACTACCACAAAAAATTCGTTGGGAAATCTGGTCAACCCGCATAGTTGTACCCATTCAAAGTCGAAAAATCCCATTTTCCGGATTATTCACCATTATACAAATAGATTTTCCAAAGATAGGGCAGAAAGGAAAAAAAAGTAAATAGGCCAGTTTGTAGAACTTTTATTTCTGTATCGACCTATGGTACTTACATTTTCCCGTCCCTTACTGTTTTTAATCATTCTAGGTCGAAAATACATTTGCACTCAAAAGTGTCATTTTGTGTAGAGCGACACAAAGCGCTTTCCAGCTCAGCATAGCAGCAAGCTGGAAAATCAAGAGTGGTCTAGAATGAAAGAGCTCGGGGCAAATAACAAAATGGTGTAACTCTAATATACGGTTTTGCATTCTAGGTTTTTGAAAATGTTCAGACTGTTAAAAAAAATCAGTTTTCACTCGATATGTAGAGCGACATTCTGCAAATCGAATGGCGAATAACTCCTAGCGGGCACATCGAAACTTTCTGAAACTAATAGCGCGAATAGAGCATAAAAAGTTGCATTAGCACCAAAAAATTTCTGTAGTTGTTTTGTAACACATTTATCAGGTAATGTGGTATTAATGAAGCAAATTTCGACTGAAACGGAAATCGCTATTATTGATAAACACGCTCCCTTGTTAATGCAACCAATACAGACCGAAAAAAGCCGGAATGGTAAACTTTCTCAGATACTTAATGAAATCGTAAGTGTAAGTGAACTTTAGTGGCGTTTTTCGAGATAAAACGCGTTTTTTATAGGTTTTTTGCGTTTTTTCCCTTATATCAACTGCTAGTAGACTCACTAGATTGCTTGTCTCAAGGCGAGTCGAATGGCATGTCATAAGTTTGTTTTGGCGAGTATTTTGCATAGATTCCAATTACAGAGATTAATTAATTATTAGATTAATTGCAGAGATAGGCGAGTACACGGATTTCTGAGTACGAGTACGAGTAGGGGTACGAATATTTTCGTAGTACGAGATGAAAGATGTTACTGAGGGGCCGACGCTATAAACATTATATTCAGATTGAGTTTGAAAAGAATTCAAAACGCATCACTCTATTCATCGTCGCCTGTTTTGATAGCTGTTATTATTTTGTTAAAATAAAAATTGATACATCGTATATAGAAATATTTTTTTATTTTCTTTCTATACCAAGTCTCGAGCACTTTTTGGACTAATTATTAAAAAAATCTCGAGTACGAGTAGGAGTATTTTATACTAGAGTAGTACTCGTACTCATCCATCTCTATTTCTTCACTATTTTTCTTTACGCTGTTTACTATGTTTGTATTCCTTCTAGTTTTAGCGATTTCTCTTCTAAAGCAGTACATTCTTCTTTCTTTTGTCCACAGTCAGTGATTGGAATAATCTTCCTGAATGGGTCATCTGTTGTTCGTCTCTATTGTCTTTCAAAAACAAAATTTCTTTCTAAATTCCTATTTTGTTAATATTAAAACTGAACTTTATACCAGTATTTTTAGCTCTCTCATTTACTTATTCATTTTTTTATATAGTTCGTCTTTTTTTTCTCCTCTCTCAGTTAACACATTTTTTTATCTGCTTCAGTAACTGTTTATTTGTTTGGCGGGGATTATTGCGTTACAGACAAGATACCTTTGGTGATCTTTCACGTTACATGAATAAATTTATTTATTCACAGCAGCCATATTTTGCATAAAAAGATGTGTCGTATCAATGTTCATTCACCTGGATTAACTTTAATCACGATCAATTATAGTCAATAGATAGAGCTTTTAAATAACTTTAAAGTATGCATAAATCATCGATAAATTTTGGTTTCTTAATGAGCAACAAAGAAAAGTATAATGAGATGCGTAAAATCAATTAGCATTAAACTTAGATAATCGTGCAAAGAGAAAATGTTTAAAAAATAAAACAAGAAAATTAAGCGGAATTTTTTTTCTGTTAATCAAATCACATGCCAGAAACTCGGCAACTACAACAAACTTCAAAGTCAACAGCAATCGTTTTCAAGCGACTTTCTTTTTCTACTTATTAGTTTTTTTTCTAACTCTTTATATCGAAGAAAGAACTGAGTTGAAAATTGAATTCTAAAGATACAGAACGAGCATTGCAAAATGGAGCAAGTTGTTGTTTTTTTTTGACTACTTCGTACAAGATCCGATTTTGATGATGCACTTACGAAAACTATTCGATTTCATTAGAATAGGATACGAACATTCTTATTCTACCGGATTAAGATTAAGAAATACAAAATGTGTTCAATTTTATGTTTGCTATAGAGGATTTCATCGTCTGCCATTTATTATCGTGAATGTGCACGATTATTGAAAAAGTTCTTAAACAACTGATAAGACTCTTATCAATAACTAAGCAAAGATGTATTGATATGGTGAGAAATAAAATAAATAACAGAAAAAAAATGTTCTAATTATTCCACATAGAGAAGCAACCAAAAGTTGAGTATGCTCGCAAGTCAATTAGTACAAACAGTAATAATAAGAGATAACGCAGATGCAGTCAAAAAATGTATTTCAATAGACTACAAAGAAGGGAATAATTCCTACAAACTGCGCAGGAAGAAACTGGGAAATATGGAACAGGAACAAACTTTCGAGCAAACTAGAGTTACTAACTAATCGTCATGATTGACAGTGTTCTTTTTTAAAGGCACAGTGGACAAGCGAACGTGCCATAATAATCCGGCATGAAAAACAAAAATCTGCTGTAATTTTCACTGAGACATTGATTCTATAGTGGAAAAATTCATCATTTCTATTAAAAAACACTGATGTTCGATATGAGAAGGATACCATATTCATTTCAGTATTTCGATTTTTTATTTAAAAGATTTTATATTTTCATGTTTTCATATATTTTTTTCTTTACTCATTTTTTCTAAAAATAATTTCTAATTCTCCATTGAGAAAAAAACAAAATAACAAACGAAAAAAAAAAAATGGTTGTTTTCAATATAGTAGCAACAACGATGCATAATTTATGTATGTATGTTTGTTATGTATAAGGATAAATACAGGCAATAAAGACGAATAATGATAAGAAACACGTTCATCAACTTGAAATGAAGAGCAACGTCAGCACAACAACATAGCTTTACTCATGAGGGAAGAACAAAAATGAAGGAGGTAAAGAGATAAACAATGGACAAGGACAACAATAAACATACACAAACAACATTTTTTCTTCTTTCACATACACCGGAGTTATTTTTTAGATCGATAACAAATAATGGGAGAGACAAAACAACGAACAACGAGCAAGAATACATTTAGATTAAAATAAAAATCTTCAATATATATATATATATATATATATATATATATATATATACTGACGTTTCCTTTGGTCTATCTATTTAAAACAAAACAAAATGAAAAATAACTACAACAGGAAGATATTGGGTTTTAGTAATACATTCTAAATATTTTACTCGAATTAAATATGATGTGAAAAGAAAAGCAACACAAATACACGCTAAATTAACAAGGACACACATACACACACACACACACACACATACACAAACAAGTAATAGAAAATTGCAGATATAATTTCGATCTAGTGTTCACTTTAACAGCATTTTTTCAACAATAATAATCAAATAAAAATACTTCATAGCGCGAGTACGTGTTTTTCTGTTGAATAAAAATTTTTAAGAAAATAGAAGCTTAAAAAAAGAGAGAAAGAAAACAGAGGATGTCATTGAGAAGGAGAACACATGAGATAATGGGACGTGATGTGTTAACAAAATAAAAACAAAAATATTTTTGTTTCAAAACGAAAATCATGCGTTTATAAAATAAAAAAATCGATTGTATGATTGTATATCTATATATAGATATATATAGATATATATAGATATATAATAGAAAAAACGAACGAAAAAGCTGTCAGAAATCTCAGCACACTTAAAACCGGTAACTTATTTTTTGGTTGTTGTCGTATTTTCAAGAGAGCAAACAAGTACATTATAAAAAAAAAGAATACACATACAAAATAAGTTATCAAATAGATGAATAATGAGTAGTAGTCTTAGTCGTAGTCTATTTTCGTTTCTAAAATAACAAATGCTAGTTCTTTTAATGAGACACAAAAGAGAGATACAGAAAAGTAAAGCTACATAATTAGTATACATATTTAGTTGCACAAAATACGAATTATGCTGGATTTAAACGCATTAACTCAATAGCATTAAAAATATACATAATATAATCATGTGGATTATCATCACGTGATAAACGTCTATTAGAATTTTGCCGTTGTAGTTGTTCAACAAATTCTATAATGAATGAATAAAAAAACAAACATAATTCTTTAAAGTAACAGTTTGTTAAAAAGATTAAAAACAAAACAATTTGTAATTTTATCTCATGAGAAACATTTATGACTAACGAACATTTTGTTTCATGAATCAAAACAAAATCAAACAGTCAAAAAATATTAATAGATCAGTATTGTAAAAATTACAGAAAAACCTTTTTAAGATTCTTTAAAAACAAATATTATTCAACTGATTGATTCTAACCCTCATACTTTCATCTGTACGATATTCGCCGGATTCCTGAGATCTACGTGGACCTCAGAAACTCTGGTCCAGAAGGTTATATCTAATTTTTTTCTTTTTAAAATAATCAACATACCTTTGAGTGTTCTACTATCATTCGTATAGCGATCGATTTTATTCCAACATGCTTGACTATTATAAGAATACATCATGATTTTTGAATAATCAATTAAACTGCGATTATTTTCCATATTTGGAATTGCATCGGCATTTGTTGAACTGGTTTGAGAATTTGTTGAAATATTACTAGCTGGTGATATTGGATTATCGGATCCAGGCGTCATCTGAACAATACCAGATGCCGTCGTTGGTGCTGTAGTATTTCTGATTGACGATGAAGTAGTAGTGGTATTAGTCGTATTGTTTTTAGCGTCTAACGAGCGAACTTGAGTTAAAAAATCATTAACATTTGTCACATAACGATCTAATACAGTCATGTTTACATTAAAACACAAATGATACAAAAATGATTGTAACCAATAACTGAAAATTGATCACACACAGTCATATAATATAAAGACTGCATATAGTTTATCTTACCATATGAGCAAAAATTTTGGACGAACATTTAGTAATGGATCAACTGAACATGAACTTGTTGGTGTAAAGCGTTTATTGCGATTAAAAAATTGTCTAAAAAAGTAAGAAAAGTATATATTTATACCATTAAATATCATTTTGCACATTATCAAAACGTACATTAACATATTTAATGTTTCTTTTAATAAACCGGATCGTCTTTCGATATTTTTTTCGCCAACAGCACACAAAATAAAATAGCAAACAGATTCCGAATATAACATCATTTGTTCGGGTGTTAAACGTTTTGCAGCATCAGCTGATTTCTTTTTTTGTCTGGCCAACGAATCTAACTCAACTGATTGCATATTTCTGAAATTAGAAATCATCATACTACTTAGTTAGAAGAAAAAATGGAGCAAACATACTTCAATTTTATATAGTTAGCTTTGTTGGCCATATCAGATATTGTTGTCTGTTGGTCTTGTTGTTGTTTGGAAGAACGCCAATTTTCTGTCGTTTGTGTTTCAGTTGTTTTTGTGCTAAACAAATATATATAATTGTGTGAAAACAGTGATAAGAAATTGGATGAAGAGTACAAAAAAATTTATTTTGACTGCAAAAAAATGAAAATGAAAGAGTAAGAGACGAATTTCAAATTAGTTCGTACTCAAACAAACATGGCAAATTGATGTTCAAAATATTTGATAGAAGACAATAGATCCATACAACATATAGAACTTACTTTATACATTTATCTTTGCTGGATAAATCACATTCAATGGATACAGTACGCGTCCTTAGTTTATCGGAAGATGAATGACTATTCGTCAGATAACTTTTATCAATGTTTATAGATGAGGTAACATTCGTTTTTACATCAACATCGTTCGTTAAACAATTTTTTTCCATTTCATTCGTGTTTTTAAACGTATTATATTCACTATTTGCTTGCAATTTATTATTATTATCATGTAACGTTATACAATGACTAGTTTTCGCCCTTTTATTTAAAACAAATTCATTAGTAATTTTTCCATTCCCATTTACTTCATTCTCCTCTAAATGAATTTGTCCTACTGTTTTATTCATTCCATCTGAATACCGTTTTGTACTATTACTTTTTTGATTGTTATAAATTTCTAGAAAATAAAATTATGACAATAAATATACAAAACCATTTTCAATTTTCTTACTGTCATCTCTAATTCCATTCATTTTCGTATTTTCATTAAATAAACTCAACGGTATACTGATGGATAACACTGGATGTTTCGAATCAATTTTTGTATTTACAGGTAACTGATTACAAAATGTATCTAATAATAATTCGTTAAGATGCTCACGACTTTTTGGATTTCTCGATGATTTATTTATACTGATCATTGTATTATCTTTCAGACGTTTCATTTTACGATGTGTTGGTGATACGACGGTTAAATTACACGACAAATCACTAGTTGAAGTTGAAGGTGCCTGGAGTTTGATGTCATTCGTTTTAGCTACTGAAATAGGACACAGCTTGTAATTTAGTAATTTTTGCTGTTGATGTTCTTGTGTTGGGGATAATTTTTCTTTATAATCACCAACTACAACTGAATCGTTATCGTTTTTTATTTTTAAGCAACTGTTCACGGATGAATCAAGTGAGACGTTAGCTACAAAAAAAGCAAATAGACGATTAGCGCAAATGAAGAAGCCAGAGTGTCTTTTTATAACTGACGATGGAAAGACCACAAGTTGAAAATCGTTTTTTCGATGAAACTAAGTGGACTCTATGTAACTCATGACACTGGTTTCAAATATGAACATCGGAGTTGGTCTTAGACTTTTGTTGACCTGTTTTCTGAAAACTGGATCTTCAGAAAATGAAGAACCAAATCCAGGAAAAGTTTCTCAGTTTAGACACAAAACTGTCGATGTTCCATAAGTTTAAGGTTTTCAAAATATCACTGAACGATGCTATGAGTTTTGCAAAGTATCCTACGGCAACATTTTCCTATCAAAATCAGCCAGCGTAGCCACTCTTTTGGGAAATTTTCTTACGTTGTTGATTGTTGTTTTGAAAAATGAAAACTTATGGAACAGTTTTGGGTCATCTACAAAATGCACGATTCAAAACATTTTTCTTGATTTTTTTTCTGGTTTTCTGAAGATCTAGTTTTCAGAAAACAGGTCAACAAAAGTCTGAGGACAACTCCGATGTTCATATTTGGAACCAGCGTCATCAATGACGTAGAGTTCACCTAGCTTCATCGTATAAATGATTTTCAACTTGAGGCCCTTCCTCACGAGCCTGGAGAAAACAGTAATAACTTACATGATTCTACTACTTTATCGGAGTTGTATCTTTCAATTGTATATTGTTTTTGAACTTTTGGCTTTTCTATATCAGTCGGAGTGTCTATTAGTTTTTGATTTATTTTTAATCTTTTTGTAGAAGAATCTTTCGAACTGACTACAGATGGTGGCGGTGTTTCTTGTTTGATATTTGGACTAGTTTTTGTTTGATTTTTGTTATTATCAACCGATTGTATAATATTTTGTTCATTTAATTTTTGAATTAATATTGGAGATGATGAGGGAGAACATGATGATGATGAAGAAGAGGAGGAGGAGGAGGATGTGGATGATGAGGATGATGAGGATGAGGATGATGGAGGAGACAAGAGAGTCGATCTACGACGCTGTTTAGCATGCTTGTTTTCAGTTCTATGTTTAGTTGGAACTGTTTTATGTTCATCGTCATCCGATGACGATATTTCTAAGTCATGTAATGGATTATTATTCGTATTATTATTAATATTAATGTTATCTACAGTATCATCTGGTGGTGGCAAGTTTACTTGTTCAGTTATATACGATACATCAGGATCACTATAATCACTGTGATGATTATCAACTTGTTTTTCATTCAATTTTTTATCAGTATAATTATTAATATCCTCTTCATCGAAAGTCGACAATTGATCCATGGGTGCTATATCCAATTTACTATTTTCAGTTTTAACTGTGATGGATGATGTTGACGGTAGTGGTAATGCAAATAAATTCGATGGAGAAGGTAAATTTGTTATTGGTTCATCCACGGTTGTAACAGGATCATTTGATGTTGTTAAAAAACCTGTGGAATTACCACTAAAGAATGGTCGTGGTTCGTTGATACTTTCTTCATCTTTATACTCATTGATTATAGCACTTGAGGAAAATTCTAAAGGAACGATTGGATCTGTATTATGATTTTCATCTTCATCTATATGACTTTGATGTCCATTATCCATTTTTTTCTCAATAAAAAAGCTTAATGAGAAATCTGATTGCTAAATAAAAAATAAAATAAATAATTAGATACAGTTGTCATGTGAGAGAAAAATAAACTCTTTTGCTTAACTATTCAGAAAAATGCTATGAGTGAAACAGTGAAAACTTGCGAGGTTCTCAAATAGTTCAGTGAATTAGCTTAGTTTTATTTCAACAAATAGCGATTCAGTTTAGAAAACTAACTTACCTCAAAGACTAGATTTACAAACTCAAATGTACTTACCCTAGTGTGATCTTCTTCATTCTCTATGTCACTGTGCTGTAAATCACTGTCATGCTTATCACTGTCGTCTCTCGATAAAGAACGATGAATAATACTGGAAAATTTTGTTTGTCTAGAAATAAATGCATAAAAAGACATAATTTTAATCAATATCTGCCTTTATAAGCTTCTTCATCTTACTTTTGTTGACTCTCATCTATTCGATTACTCTTTGCATTATCATCATCGTTTTCGGATTCATCATCAGTATTAGAAAGACGATTGTGATCACTGAGCAATAGGTTTGGGGGTTTTACTGTTATGGTATCCTCAATTTCTTCATCACTTGGTTCACTTAATTGAAGATCTCCATTTTTATGACTAAGAACGAAATATAAACATTTAATAAACAGAAATTAATATTGTTTATTGTCCGACATACCAATGATAGTGCTTGGCACATTCTAAAAAAGAAAACTGTCATTTAGAAATTCAATTCCTCATAACACTCAACGTGTTTTAAATTTTCTGAATTAAAAGATGACTTTGATGGATTCAATATAAAACTTATTTCCATCAAAGTTTGATATTAGCTATACTTATGAATGCCGATAAAACGCGTATGCATTACAACAATCTGTCTATGTTTCTCAACGCAAATAACTGTAAAATTATCAGTTTCAGGCAAAAAATGCATTCATTACAATAAAACACGATTAAAATAAGAATAACAGATAAAAATCTTACTGGAACGATGCATCGTATTGGAAATATTTTCTGGAAGACGTTTTGGTTGTTCAACCAACTAGAATTTTAAAAATGATATAGAAAATTAGTATGAAAGGAGTGTATATACTAAAAGTTAGTTACCTTTAAGATAAGTGGTACGAGCTGTTCAACTGTATGTACACGTTTTTCAATCTTAACGAGCAAGAAATGAATGTTTACAAAAGTTATGATATTTCTATTGATCATTGATTACGTACAGTATTAGATGATGGAATCAAACCGGAATCAGCCGTTGTTGACATCAAAGACACATATGGTTCACTTGATGAAATAGGAATGTTAGGTATATTCACATTTACTGGACTTGTACTATTTACAGCTAAAGATAATTGAGAATTTCGTGTTGTAACAGCGTTCGATGATCTACAAAAAATAAAATATTCAATAAAAATTAGTTCAGTCTGTCTATTTCACATTAAATATCCAAAAAAAGAAAACTTACTCGATAATTACACGAGTTGTCTGGGGATAATCATTAAAATCGGAATTTTGTTTAAATGCGGCATTTGGTGGACCGAGTATTTTTTGTGCTTTATTACCCAGTGAATGTGAATCTGACTAAAAAATAATGTTAATAACCAGATGAGAATTTTTCTCTTTTTTTTTCAAAAATCAGTTTTTATGTACCATTAAACGATGGTTTTGATGATGACCATTTGATAAAACTGCTGTAGTCGCTGGGTTAGTGGCTACATATTTTGTATTCGTCCGATGTTGATGATGAGGAAAAGACGAATGATGATTATGAAAGGGTTGTTGATCGTTAATAATATCTACAACCATGCTGAAATTAGGAAAAACAATTAAATATGAATTTGAAGTAGAATCTTCTTTTAAAATATTAACAAACAAGGTAGAGAGAGACACACAAAATATTTCATGTGGCCATCATAACAAATAGAAACAACAAAATTGCGTATGATTCTTCAGTATGTATGTTATTCTATAACGAAAATGAGAGTAGGGTAAAAAAAGAAAATGTCTTTTTCATTCATGTATATACGTTCCTTTTTTTTTTTTGTATTCTTTACTTTATATTCATCGGCATCGTTTATACATCCAAGAGAAAGAAGTGCAAAGAGAGAGAGAAAGAACAACAGCCAATTACTCGTTGTCGGTCACATAACTAAAAAAAAACGTACAATTATTTTCATAAATATTGGTGTTGTTTGTGTTATTTTGACAAGTCTGGGTCTGTGTGTCTGTTGGCATGAGGAGACAAATAATTCATAAATAACGCACATGTCTAACAATTTTGAAGGTTAATGTTACTCTGTGTCCATTATCTGTATGATGCACATCACGTGTAACGAACAAAAATATTTGTCCTTCGTTACTTAATAAAAAATAAGAACACGAAGGTAGGAGAAAAAGTGTCCTTCACTGACGATTCCTTCGTATCGTGTTCGTGACAGATCGTATTAGTCCAGCAAAGCAGAATAACCAAATTCTTATTTAGATATTCTAATAAAGAAATAAACAAATAGAAACTATTGAATCCCTAATACTTGCAACAAAACAACACAATATCATTTTAACAATTGAAATTTTCTGTTTATAATTGTATTTGTTAAAAAAAATATTTTCTTCTCAACTACTAAACCTTCTGTTTCTCTAAGTCTATAAATCAGATGTTTTTGTTCGCATGTCCATCAAATATTAGCACAATAGTTATATTTTTTAAATCTCTTCATAATCATTCAAAAAAAAATACAACTAGAGTCATTTTTTATAACATATTTAAATCATAGAATTAATAATCTATTATGGAATAATCGACGCTACTTTATGCTAAAACACAAAATTCTCTTCGAATTGGACGTCTATGTACTACGATCTACACGCAAATTCTACAAACCATAAAGTTATTTGTCATTATTAAGATTTCTGCGTGTTATAGACGATTCTTTTAGAGAGAAAAATCTTAATATGAATTTAAGTAAACTCCGTTTTTGTGTTCAATACAGGCACACACACACACACACACAAATACACACAGTGAATAAATCCATAACCATACTAAAAAGATAAAACCTAGTTTTAAAATGTATCTATACATGCCAGTACATGAATTTTTGAAAAATAAGAAGAAATACAAAAGACAGAAAGAACGAGCGAGAAAAAGATGTGTTATATACATTATACACTGTACTAGTGCAAGAACAATCCAGGTTATACACATATACAGATATTTTAACGTATTGAAAATAGAGAGTGTATGAGAGTGTGCAGCTTTTTTTTTTCCTTTTCTCTTTTCTATAAATGTCATCATCAACATTCTATAAGGGTTTTGCAAGATAAATTTTTTTTTTCTCGTCTTTTCATTCACTAGTTTTTTGCCTATTCTTCTTTATTCAATGTTTATTGAAGAAAATCATGTATCAATGCGCTTAATCTACAGATGGTGTCCTTTCGACGAAAAAAAAGGAGTTCTTGGGCCCGATCAATGACGAACAAAAAGAAAAATGTAATAAACGAAATATGAGAAAAATAATACAAAACGTCTTTTCACAAGCAGCCATCTGATACTGTAATGTTTTGTATGAATAATATAATCTCCTTAAAACCAACTGCTCAAAAATCAGATTTTATATAAAAGTTTATTTTTTAAAAAAAAAAGACTAACATTCAAAAATACATAAATATTTCTATTATTCAATATAACGACACTAAGATATCTTAATTAAAATGTTTCGATTCGCAGTTTTTCGATTTATATCTTATTTTGTTTTGTCTTTATCAATCAATTGTAGCGCATTTTACATTAAGTTTTTTTGTCTCATTACAAATAGAGAAAACATAATAATTAATACACGTGATCACCTGTAATATTTGCTATGATTCAAAGTCATAATTTTTGTTAAAAATAAACATATATTAAAGATTGAATCTATCAATTCCGATTAAATAAAGTATTTTAGAAAAACATACTATTTGAAATTCTTTAATATTTTTTATCTATTATTGATCAACTTTAATTTCTTTCTAAAAAATGTAACACTCGATAATTTTCTTGTATATAGAACTGATTGATGTAAAAATAAAAAATATAACTAATTGTCACAATTATTGACATTCATTTTTAGGACTCTATTTTTTTTTATAATCATTTACATTTAAAGTAATCAAAGTCAGATAGAAGTAAGATAGAGTTGAAAAGAGTGACTATTTTGACTGATAAATTCTAATACAAAAATAATAGGCTTGATATGTTTGGTAATGTGAACTTTTATCGACACTTTTTTTTGTCGAAAAATATTTCTCTCGTGTACGCAAAAAGAAAGAGAATCGGTAAAGACCGGTTCCAACTCTACGCTACAGCGTGAGAATGAGTGGCGGTTAAACTAATTTGACTGAAGTCTGAAACTTTTACAGAATTATGAAAATTGACACTACTCAGATCTTTATGGAAGTCTGCTGAATGCACTGAGAACATTTTTTCGATAAACTCACTTTTCGAGGAAATTTTTTCGAGAAAAGTTCAGTGAATCGATATGTTTTATGTATGTTTCTCATACATATAGTGCAGGAATGTTTTAAAGATAAAGTTTTAAATAAAAATTCAATAAACTAATTCATGTACTCAAAGAACCGTTCTTCGACATAAAAATGAAAAACGATATTTCTCTTAATATTAAAAAATTGAAGTAGAGATGGACTACTACTCGAGATGTTATTTAATCAAACTTTCAATTGATGAAAGAATTATAATTAGCATTCCAAAGTACGAAAATAATCTTAATTTTTAATACAAATCAAAATATCTTTAGCTACGAGAAAGTTTTTGAATAAAATTTAGTACTTAGAACGATCAATCATAATAAAATTCTTTTGATGATTAATTATCTTTTCTTTTTTTTTGTTATATTAAAAATTGAACTTCAGAATAGACAAAAATGATGATGATGAACTGTTTATCCGTAGAAGTACGATTACTCGTTAATAAAGGTGATTGATCAAACACTATTCAACACAACACATAGTCATAACACAGATCTTTCAGACAATTCAAATTGGAATAAAGAGAAAAAAGAAAAAAAAAAGAAGAACTTTGCTAATGATTGATCAATAAAAATCCATTTGTTTCAAAATTTCGATGCAATAATCATCTACCACAATTTTTTTTTAAAGTTCGACATCGCTTTGTTGCAATATTTATTTTGTTCTTATGTATCTACATATACAAGTTAAATTAAACATGTAACCTTCTTTTAAAGGTGTTCTGTTCTGTCAAATATATATTCATGGATCATAACAAATTGCGTCTATAAATGATTATATATTTTCTTATATTTAGAAAAAAGACTATTCTCATTATTTCAGTCATCAAATTAATCGGAGTATTAATTACACCAATATACTTCTTTTTATCAGACAACTAGTTTGCACATTTTATTCTCCTAAAGTTAGTAGTATTTCAAATGATCATTATACACTCATATTTCTGTCAATTTTCTGAATACTTTCTGAGTACATTTTCTGATAAGATAATGCAAACTCTTGTAAAGAGTTATACGTTATAGTCATATAATTAAACCGAAAAACATCCGTTTTCTCTTCTCTTTCTCACACCATAATGTGTCTAATATCGTTTTGTCTAATTGTTAAATGTAGCACACATTAACCAGGAAACAATGTCGTATATGCTTACACATTTGAACACTTCTTTTTCCTCTATATAGCAAGTATTTAATGCTTAACAAGCAATTAACATTGTCTAAAACATGTATTTGATCCAAAAGCATATATCTGTAGTCATACAAAAGAACAATATATAGCATATGATACAAAGTGGAACACATTAATAAATTGCACTAGATATGCGACAGATGGATATGCTCGTCTACAAAATCTTTTCAAGTAGTAGCGAATACTTTTTAGTAAAGAAATTTTTTCAACAAAGTAAACAAATCAATGATGAACAAAAAGAACATCGATTCAATTCATTTTCTTCAATATTATAACATTTGAAAAAGAATTTAAGAGAATGAATTGATTTGTAAAAAAAAATGGTCTATTGATGAGCAACATTAAATGATATACAATATCAACACATTTAAAGTGTATGAAAAAAATGTATATTGACAGAAAACACGATCAACAAGTCTTAAAACTGATTTTAGTCGATTTAAGGAGGAAGTAGCTATTAATTCTTTTAATTGAATAAATTTTTAATACTTTTATGATTTTTGCGTAGTTTAACATTTATACTTGATACAAGCGTATAAACAAGATAAATTTTAAGTTCAATAGCAGCGTTCATAGATAAATTTTTTTCCTTACAATATAAAAAATGATCTATTTTTCGCGCTAACTCCATGAGAATTACGGATATTCTCTAGAATAATTATTCATGAGGTCATAAAGTTAACTCAGAGAGATGAACGGAGCGTTAGAAAAGTAAGACAAACGATATTTTGAAAGATTACGAGAAACGAGGCAAAAAATATTTTCTTATCTGAAATATTTACCATGTTTATTGAATATAGCAAGAATTTTTTTTCACAATCTTCATCTCAACTGCCGCTGTGGAAAGAAGATTTAGTGCTGCTGGATTGATTGTTACACACCGTCGAATAATCTGTAAATATATTAATTGTCTGTTCTTCTCAAATAATTATTGTTTTTTAACTACTTTAGCAAAAAATTATTTATATTTTTATTATGAATAAAGTATTGTTTTATGTGACTTACTCTTCCATCTTGAAAAACGTTTTCCAAGGAAATCCTCGAAGCGAATCTCATGAGATAAACCTTTTGAAAGGATCGCAGAGTACAAGATG